CGTTACCATATTTAATATTTTAATCTTTTCTATTTCTCCGGCAACGATCACATTTCTCATTCAAAATACTGATCGATTGGTAACTTTCTTCCATATATTTCACTGAATGCGGCTATTGGAATTGTTCAGCATTTGTTCGGAATTTGTCACAAATCGATACTTCCACGTTTTCAAAATGAAAGTGTAATTTGTTTAAATTCTTTTGACTGAAAACGAAGTGTTTCTCGCCTTTTTTCAGTAAATATTTCTTCTTTTGTATTTTTTTCAATAATGTGAAAATTCTTTTGGGAATTTTCGGTCGAGACATTTAACTTTTGTTTTCGTTTTTATTAAACAAAACACGAAAGATTTGTGTTTACTGTTTTCTCTCTACAAAGATCGATGTGAATAGTGTATTATTTCAAACTTTCTGTGTAAACAAATCGTGTTTGAAAAATTGAAGGTATTTATTGAGATAAATCATGTTGGTGATTCTTTCTGAATTTCATTGTGTGACATCGTACAATGGTCGCTTGATTCATATTCAGGTTAAGTATGAACATGTTTTGACTTTTTCTATGGCAATAATTGCATTCGAAGACCATCATTAGCATCAACAAGACGCGTTTCTAATTGTTCAGCCACTAAGTCTTAAATATGAGTTAAAATCAAAGGTGATTTGTTGTTGTTGTGTTGAACAAGTGAAAACGATGAAGAACGTGTGCATTGGATTTGATTGTCGAAAAAAGTTAAATGGCATCACTTTGCGTTCTCATCCATTAGCATGTACAATGTACACACGTACAAAAGTCTTTCAAAAGTCACTCAATACGATCTTGTTACACGTGTAAACTGTTGTTAATTCGTTTTTTGTGTTTCTGAACATCTCGGATTTTATTTGGACAAGCTTGAAGAAGAAGAAAAAACCCAAATGACCAAACAAAAAAAGCGAAATCTAATTGTATACAAACATGTGTGCACGGATCATGTGTGTATTTCCTTGAACATTTTTTTCGGTAAACATCAAATTTAACTCGGTTTTTTTTTCGGTTCAACCAGCATTGTATTTTTTTTCTGAATTGCATTCGATTCTATATGCTCATTCGACATAACAAATCATCGAAAAAAAACGAAATTCAAAACAAAAACAAATGTAGTCGCTTTTGATCCAAACACTTTCACTAAATTTTTGTTTTCGCCAAAGCGAAGAAACAGCTTGAGCATTTAAATATAAAAATCTACAGTAAATTAAACGATTTTAATTGTTAGATAAAACAAAAGCCGTGACCCACAATGAAGTTTTCATTTAATTGATAGTGAAAAGCGAATATTTTACAAGCAATTATGTTGACGGTGATGAGACGTGTTCAACGAGTGAAAAAAAGATCTCCAAATGAAGAGTCGATTTGAAATGACTACAATTTGCGCCTCAACACAGGCAACAATTGCGCTTGAAATGAATAGCACAAATTCTTGGTACGAACAGAAACACACGAGCTAAAAAGTATTTGAAATGATATGATGATAGGGGGTGATTAAATGGCAGTGCCTTCGAATCGCTAGCGAAATGTATGAGATCACTTGAGATCGCGTTGATCATCAACATTACGCGTGAATAACGCATTTGATCACTATAATTATTGTTAATAATGTGCCTATGTATCAAGTCATTAGACCTGTTCTCACATTGTTTGTAAATGACAAGCTTGAGGATTTAACAGAGCAATTGAAAACAAAAGAAAATGAACCATCATTGATGAACGATTTTTAATGATTAAAATGTTATTTGGTCCATCTCTTGTCATTGGCAGCTCGGCAAATATTGGTTTTACTTACATTAAATTCCACGCTAACACTTCAAGATATCACATTACGGACGCATGCGATGTCATGGTGTTTTGGGTGCTCGCAGCATAAAATCAAATGACAAAAGTAAATAGAAAAGTATAAACAAACAAAGTGAACAAAGACAAATACAATCAGATAGAATATATCGTGAGCGATCGTTGTGCCAACATGAGCTTCTTGTAAAGTTGAATGGTTCTGTATCAGTGTATCAGTAGGTTAATGGAACACCATTCATATTTTACCGCATATATGCACGCCATAAACATTACGTTTACGCCAAGTTTCTGCTACTTTTCATATGTATATCTTCGAAGTCGTCATTGCTGATGTGTTTTCTTTGGTCTTTTCTTTCTTTTGCTTCTTGTTCATGGTTTCTTGAATCATCTCCATCGATCGGTGTTGTTGTTGTTCTTGCTTTTTTCCTACTCTTTAACTCGACATACTCGATTCGTCTTCTTCATTCCACGTTCTTTCTTATAATTAGTACTCTGGTAATATGCGAGCGTTCGTACTGTGAGCTGTGTTTACTATGAAGAATAGATATAAATTATGGCCACAACAAAAAATGCAAAAGGAAAAATGCGTAGCGCAAAAAAAAATATATATATTTATAAAATAAATAAAGAGATGACCAAAGAGATAGAAAATTGCAAGTAAAGATGGTATAGTTAATATAGGGAGTGGTGTGGTGCTGATGCGTGTGTCAATGAGTCGTTCTTTTTAATGGATTTCCACTCGTAAAATGAAAAATACTGAACGAGTTGCGGTTCAAGTGATGAATATATCGTTTTTTAAAGATACAAACTGGAATTTCTAATGTCCTTGCTTTTTATTATTGTTCGCCACATCAAACTAAACGACATTCATAAATGTCTTCTTTTTCTCTTTCTATCTTTCTCTCTCTCGCTCTTGCTCTCTACCTCTCTATCGCGAGCGTGTCTGTGATCGCCGTTAAGACTGAAGATATTATACTCTTGACAATTTTACAATATTATTTCAACGACTCTTATTCACGATATGCGATAGTGTGATGTGCCAATGCCGTTATAGAAATGCTATTCTTTCTTTTCTTCTCATTTTCGTGTGTGCCGGAATATTTGGACTGTATATATGCTTGTGCGCGTCTTCGAATGCAACCTTTCACACATTTCACCGGCACTCGCATAGGCAGCAAGTGGGTCCTCAATTGGTCAGCCGAATTAGTTTGTAACTGATGTTCGACGGTCGATGTACTCTCCTATAAAAAGCAATTTTGTGTGTGATATTTTTTTTTGTTTCGGTTAAGTTTCACCTGAGTTGTGAGAACGAAAGACACGGCACGTGGATATCAATTTGGCATCAAATCAAGCATGATCTTACAATAGTGAAAAACACAAGAAGAGAAAGATAGTATTCAAATTCTAATGTTATAAATTGACTGAAGTGAAACTGATCATGTGAGTGAATTTGAGTAAACTCAGTCCCGGAATCATCATATATATTGTTTGTGACTTCGTGATCGTATTTTTTTGCTCACTTCTGAATCTATTTCAATTGAATCAATCAAGTTTGGTGTGGCGAGGAAAATGTGATTGAAGAAGAAAAAAATTACCAAGTTATTACTGGTTTTGTGATTTGAAATGTCAGTCTGAATTCAATGAAAGCATTCATACATTTCATGCTCAGCCCATTTATGCGATTCCTCTGGTCATGTTCATTTAATCAATAAGCGTGCGAAACCATTCCCCCCCATCATCTCTTTATCTCAACTAAGATGGTGAAATCAATATTTGTTGGAACTTCGTGCTACTGTTGCAGAAAAAGCATGAATCAATTATCGAAATCCGTATGCTCAAGTTTCAGTGAAATATGATTTGGTGGCTGGAAGTATGCATGCTATGCGGATGCTTCTGTCGCTCTCATCGATAAAAAATTTGAACAAAAAGAAGAAAATCATCCAAAATTCCCAAATAAATTGCGAGTCGCTAATCTAACGATTGAATTTGTGGATTTGATCAGTTAAGTCTTCGTGCCATTGAACTTGTGCTATTATCTACTATCGTGCTGTTGTACAGTGTGTGATGAAAAGTTTCTAATTTCCTAGAGTTATTTGAATCATTTAAGCGCTTGGAAAGCGCTGAGACTTTTTCGCTGTGCGCCGTTGTGGGTGTTCATTTTTCGATTGAAAGTAGATTTTAATAAACACACTGAATGATTTCGCTTCATTGATGCATGCAATCTAGCTCACTGTCGCTGAACCCATGCGAAAAGCATAGGTGCGCACCGTGCACATTTTTACACTGAAATGAAATCGACTTCAAACGAACGGAATAACACACACACACACACGACCGAAAAACAATAGAACAATTTCATTTTGTTAAATATTTTTCGTTTGTTCAGTGATTTTTTAATTATTTCTGGTGCAATCAAATCGTTCCCACAAAGTGAACCTGAAAACAAGTGATGATTTGCACTCTACATTTCAACAACCTAGTCTCTTTACGTCGTCTATACTCATTTATCTCTCTACATCTATTCGTTGTCTCGTTTGCATAAGCGTATTCAATTTAAACCAGTCTACGTAGTGGTAATAACTGTTCTCTATCCAAATTGATTTAAATCGTTATCACTCAAATGGTGAAAAAAAAGAAAAAAACAGAAAACTGCACGATTTTTGGTAAACATTAATTTCCATTCGATCATTTGGATACAACTGTTGTCCAGCGCTGTAGATGCCACAGTGAAACAGTGTGTCAAATTCATTTAGTTACTTCGTCGTTGTGTGACACACTTTTTTCTACTCGAATTTCGTTACTTTCTCAATCATATCAATTCAAATGTTTGAACATCGTCTGTTACTACTACAATCGCGTTTATCGCAGAATTCCATGTCGGATGATTAAATCAAATAAAGAAAATTCTCAAATTTGTTTGCATTTATTCACCGAGTGGTCTTAATTAATGTGAATTAAATGAAAGATGAGAATGTGTAATTTACGACTGCGAAAAAAAACACACACACACACCAATGACCATTGACCAGTTGTCGTGGATTTAGGTCCCTTGAATATTTGTAAATGAATAAAACGAAGCATCCAAAGCAATCAATCAATAGCTTAAAGTCATAAAAAATGTTTTCACTAAAATAAAGTTATAATGTTATTATGTTTCTTGTCATTCTTTTATTTTAGTTCGACCAGAGGTTAATAGAAATTCCGACTGATCTTAAAAATTCCCCATCTCCAATAGCTTGAGTTTCCCAAGAATTAGATACGATACCATCGGAAATACACACCAAAATGGCTTGCCGCTCGCGATATTTCATCGCGTCCATATTCATAACACTATGTGTTTTAAAGGTAAGTAACGAAAAGACGCCGATAACCAAATGACTTTTTTGTGTGTTTGTATTCTTTAATTTTCTACGCATCCGTTCCACCAAAATGTCATAAAACGACCAAAATAAAACAAAGACGGTAAAATGTGCATAAAAAAATGGTATGGCAAAAAGAATGGATCAAGTAAAAAATACGAAAGAACACCAAAATAAATTTAAACAGCAAATGTCGTTCGTGCATTGTGCAGAGTAAGAATTTTTACCGTTATCCGAAACCTGAATAGTGAAAGTTATTGTAGTGCAACTGAAGGGAAAAACATTCATGCAGCCGACATCATGGCAGCAATTTATGCATTGCCGAATGGTTCTTATGAATGCGTGCAAGGTGGTCGTCTATCACACATAAGTCGACTTTATATATATATATCATCGTACGGAGTTCGCAATTCTTTCCCCATTCGACAAAAAAACAGCTCTTTTTTTTCTTTCTGGGTCACACCATATTCACACCAAAAGAAAGCAATCGTTGCGAACAAAAAGGTTCATTTTTATGCAGAATGTTGTTGGTCTTTTTTCGGAAATGCGAATAAAAGTGAAAATAATAGCGAGAATTCTGGGTGCGCAAAGCCATACAAGTATATTGTATGGCTTTTGATGAATTTCAACGCATGCCTTTCTGACCATTTACGCATATATTTGCCTTTAACAATCGCCGTGCGTAAGCCGATCACAAACGGTGTGTGTGTGTGTGTGCAAAATAAACAAAAAAAGTGACACGTAAAGAAGACGAAATAAAATTCAGCACAAACACATATTCAATCGAATCAATTGATATGCAAAACTTTGTGGAAATGAAAGAAAGAATCGCTTAAAGAATGCTTAACCTTTTCGATAGAAAAGTGAGTGTCTTCTCGCGTCAAAACTCTTCTAATATGCAAATTGGACTCGTAAAGTGAATGTTCCAAAAGAGCTTATCTATCTTTTTATTTCGTTGTTTTTTTTTTTGTGTGTGTCGTGCTCATATGCTAGTTCTTGTTTCCATTCGAAGGACTGTGTGAACAGTGAACACACTAATAGAAATTGTTTAAACAGAACCGACAACGTTTTCAGCAAGACAATTGATTCATTGTTTAGCATTATAGAGTTGAAATTGAAAAGCACACTGAACCTTGTCTTTAATCTATATATTCGCTTGCCGGCGAACAAAAACAATCACTTTCGCTAAAAAAAAAGTGGAGAAAATTGTGTTTTTCATTTTGTTGGTGGTGGACGGTATTTTTGTTTTACTTTATTTTTCTCATGTTTTCGAATAGACACTTAATCAGATTTGACCCATAAAATGCTTACAAATTATACGTGTTACAAACAAGTCATGAAAATCATCATGCTTTTGTGCAATTATGGTGCAAATTTTAAGTACATGACGCCGCCATGGATACAAAACAGACATTTTATCAGCTCTTTTATTTTCAGTTACCGATACGATCCAGAGCAAGTACTCACGACACACGAATTTGCATTACATGTGGGCACATATGAGCCATTATTCTTTTTTTTCATTGAGTTGAATTCTCGATTTCAAACACAATTCCTACTCATAAGTCACTTAATATCCGGTTTGCATTTCGTCAACTGTCTCTTTTGCATCACGATGTTTGCGTGTTTTTTTACGTGCGATCATTTCTGCTACAATTGTAGAAAAAAGACAGCCTATCATAAGTGAACCAATAATATCATACGTATCATTAATATTATTATTTGTTCAGTGTGTTATATTTGTGGTGGCATATAATTAGGCGAAAGTTGGATGCGGTTAACCACAGTCATTAGTTTTATGATATAAATATATTTTTCAATTGTCTCTTTTTTCTGTGTGTTTTACCGATGTTAAATATATTTGTGCGAATTCCAAAAACAATTACCCGCTCGCAAAACTCCTTATCCGCTTTATTTATAAATAAATTTCACCGACTTTTGCCAAGATTTACATATGCATATGAAACTCATAAATATTCCAGCCTCATGTACGTTGCTTAACAATTTGATATTATCAAGACATGAAATTTTACCAAATATCTTATATGTAAAATGAAAAAATCTTTCGAAAAAATCGTGCAATTCATTTTGTTGGGTGTTTCGCGTTTATTTTCATTGTTTGTGTTTTGACACATGTATAACGTTGCTGCTTTTCCCATTTGCAATGTCGGCTCGACTGCATTTAATTAAAATGGCCAGCATCTCATCAGAAAATCATCTGAATTTTGATATCTTAACAAATGTTTCGGAACGGTTGTGAAAAGTGTTTACTTTTCCTTTAGCTGAAAGCCGATTCTGTCTCCGTTTTCTGCTCTGTAATTTATTTGTCGCTTTCCGCGCACCGCATCGCATTGTGCAGTGCTCAGATGAAAACGTTCGCGGTCCGTTCTTAATTGATAATGATACGGACACTGCCATGAAGTGAGCTACTTTTTTTTCCAATTCGATGATGAATGAGGGATAAAGAAAGAGTGAGATGCCAGTCTAGTGTGCAAGAGAGGTGTTGTAGCGTTTCTTTTTCGACGAGCTTTCTTTTGCTACACAAATACTGTAGATGGTAACTGGAATTTTCGTAAACGCACTGCAATTTCAAGCAAAAAAAGAAGAAGAAAAAGAAAAGAGTCAGAACATAGAGCGTATTGTATGGCAGACAGTAAAAGCCAATGAAACCGGTTGCCAACAGTACAGCAGCGTACTTTTTATTATTGCTGAAACGTTGTTTTGTCTGTATTTATCAATTCGAGTTCCAGAATAACATCATCCACAAGAATGATATGTGTAACAAGTGTGTTCAGTTTTAGTTGACGTTGTATCTAGTCGCTGAGAATTCAGAAAGTAGGTTTGAAAAAGACGGATTTTTTATTTGTTTCTTTGTTTGAAATTCAAATGATATTGAACACATTTTTATCGTCACCTGGAAGATTTGCAACGATGCTGCAAGGTGCAGCCAATCCATTTTTGTTTTTATTTTACTTCATGCACTTGATTGGTTTGGCTAAAAACGATTTTAACGGTATCGATCGTACAAAATTTGCACATCATTTGCATCATAACAATTGGCTCACAACCCAAATTGAACATAAATGGCGAACATTTCACTAGTTTTATTGATTGGGATCTTGTCTATATTGATTCACATACAGATTTGAATGAAATGGAAAAACAGCCAAATTGATTTTAACGGAAAAAGTAAAACGAATTGTTCAACTAATTCAATCGCCAAGAAGAAAAAAATCCAAGAAAAACGTGTTCCGTATCGCATCGTTGAAGTTTAAGAAAGACATGGAAAATAGACACACAAAGAGAAAAACAATACAAAGCACATGTCTCGTGTTCGTGTTTTCATGTGCACCATTTTTTTCAAGCTTGAGTTGATGATATGCGATTTCATGTATTAATCATGGTGGATAAACATGCATCGTTACTAAAACTGAACACTAAAAACAAAAAACAAATATCCAACAAATAATGAAAGAAATAATCGAAACCAATAGCTTCACGAAAAAAGCATATAAAGAAAAGAAACAATTTTCAACAACCTGGATGATAGGCTTATAAAAAAAACTGTGCCAGTGGATCGATCAAGCATGTGTGTGCATATGAGCAAATTACTGCAAGAAATTTCGCTTGGCTTGTGTAGCGCGAAGAGTGAGTGAACGTACGTACGAACAAGACGAGAAAAACAGAACAGACACGGAAAATATTATGCGCTCAGAGGAATGTTAGAATCGAAGCAAAACTCGTATATATGAAACATTCAGAGTCGTGAATTGGTCTATTTTTCTGATGGCATTCTGAATTCTTTATTGATTCAACTTAAGTCAGCTTGATTTGGTTTCAATTTATCATTTACTGTGTACAAGCTGCGAATTTGCTCCATATAAATTGCATGATTGATATATGACTGAGAGGATGATGATCGCCGGCATGTTTATGGAAATTGTTTTACTCATGTATGTTCTCGTTTTATTTTATTTTTTTATTTTGAACACAGAATGTTAACAGTGACGCTCCAATTGATTCGTCGGCATTACCGCTAGAGCACAGATCTGTCTATGGTCCACCAGCGCTTCAATCACCAATTTATGGAGCACCACCCCAAATACCCGAACATCAAGTAGCACAAAACGAAGTGTCGGACGAACAATGGCCACTCGGTGCGCCAAACGACAGTCCACAAATCAAAAATCTACAAGTTCAGTGCGAAAAGACACACATGCGTGTCAATATCGAGTTCGATCGTCCGTTTTACGGAATGATTTTCTCAAAAGGATACTACAGCGATGGTCATTGTGTTCACATGAAACCAGGCAGCGGACATTTGAGTGCAACATTTGAAATTTTCTTGAACAGTTGCGGCATGAGCAGTTCGGCCAATCACAATGCTCAACAATTTGGTGCTCCAACACCATCAGGCAGCTACGTTGAAAACACCATCATTATCCAATACGATCCCTATGTACAAGAAGTTTGGGATCAGGTATGTTGTTTATTTTTCTATTTGAAGTTAAAAAAACAAAACAAAAATACGTAATATATGTAATTTTTTATCGATTCATTAAACATTAATTTGATTTGTAAGCTATAATTTGAAATGATTAATCTATAATAATGAAATCGTTTTGAATGCAGGCCCGTAAATTGCGTTGTACATGGTACGATTTCTATGAAAAACAAGTCGCTTTCCGACCATTCCAAGTGGATATGATGCACGCTGTTACCGCCAATTTCTTGGGCGATAACCTACAATGTTGGATGCAAATTCAAGTCGGCAAAGGACCATGGGCATCCGAAGTATCGGGAATTGTGAAAATTGGTCAAACAATGACCATGGTATTGGCGATTAAAGATGATGAAAATAAATTCGATATGCTTGTACGTAACTGTGTTGCTCATGATGGTAAACGTGCTCCAATTCAGTTGGTCGATCAAAATGGTTGCGTCACACGGCCAAAGATTATGAGTAAATTCCAGAAAATTAAAAACTTTGGACCATCAGCGTCGGTTGTGTCGTTCGCATACTTCCAAGCTTTCAAATTCCCAGACTCGATGAATGTACATTTCCAATGTGTAATTCAAGTATGCCGATACAATTGCCCGGAACCAAAATGCGCCCCAACGCTTGGCGGTGAATTCGGTTTGGCCGGTTTGAGCTCCGAATACGGTTTGCCATCATCAGAATACGGTTTGCCACCAGCCGCTTATCCAGATCCAAGACATCCAGCTGATGCTTCAGGTAAACTATTAGAGGAAATTATTCTATTATTTTCATCGCAATTTTCTTTTCATAACCATTTATTTTCTTCAAATCATTTGCTAACTAGGCGCATACTCCGAGAATCAACAAGAAATTGTACCGCCACCGCAAGCACAATCAACCTCCGAAAATATCAATAAAATTGACTCACCACCAAAACGTGACGAAATTCATTTGCCACCGCCACCACCACCAGGCCACTCTGGTTACAGTACCGTCAAACGAAAGGATGACTTGGATGCTGAGGCAAATGGTAACTTGGCCACAATTGGCGGACGACCACGATCGGTTGAAGGATTAGACGATTTGCGTGGCGTTCGAAGACGCCGTGAAACAATGGAAATCGTTGTCAAACCAAAGGTCTACAAACGTGCTGCACAAGAAATGACCGATGTCAATACTAGTCGTGTGATTCAAGTGGTCGCTCCTGGCGACGTTAATTTCGCTTTGAATAATAACAATGTAGCTAACAACGATACAGTTGTTGTACAAGCGCGAACAGTAGACGCTGAAACGATATGTATGTCAGTGCCAAGTTTCGTTGGCGGTTTAGTTATGTTACTTTTAGTATTAGCAATTGCTTCATTAGTAGCCGCATTTTTGTTTGTGCGCGTACGGCATTTTGATCGCAAAGGTATGACGATCCCACGACATGGATTCATCAATGAATTCATGAAAGTCAATTAAATCACAAAATGAGAGAGACAAAAAAATGTATACGGAAAAATTTAGGAAAAATTACATTGAACAATTCAATTGACAAGACAACGCAAATCAACGAAACAGATCGATAGATGAAAAAAAAAAAAACAACGGACGTACCTTACTATGTGACACTGGAAATGTGTTATAGCAAATGCTATGACACTGCTTCGATGTTACCTCATCAAAAAAAACGCGAGACAAAAACAAAACAAAACGACAAATATATCTTTGGTCTGTTCATCCAACGGACTAACTTGCATAACTTCATCACTTTTCAAAGTGGTCTTATGATAAGTTATTTATTCTTACCAAACGACAATTCTTCACGATTTCATTCAATTATTTTTTATAAAATCAGGTGAAGCCGCACCGAAACTAGAAAAATAATTGCTATGACGGTTAATTGAAGGCAAACTTTCAACCAACACCGAACAAAATTAACTTTTTTTTATTTCAATATCATTGTCATCGATTCCAAGATCAAAAATGGAACGCATAAAAAAAATTCAAGTTAATTTAGCCCAGTGGCAGGTGTAATCCAATCACCATCTTTATTCAAACTGAACATCACACACACTATTTTCTATTTTCTTAATTTTTTCCTATCTTCGTGCATCCCTCATCTCTGTCCTGACCGACTTATTTATTTATGACTCTATTTATTTTATTTTCTCTTTTATTTATTTCTTTTCTGAAATCTATCAGTTTCTGAAAAATGACCGTTCGAAAATAAGTTTTGAGGTAAAATAGACGCTCGTGGGTGTGCGTGTACGCGCGCACACAAGAAAAAAAAAGAAGAAACAAACACACGATATCACTTTTGTTAGATAAAACTAGAGCATATATAGCTTTTGTACTAATTCGCAAATACTACGGCCTGAATCAAAGAAGTGGTCAAGTTATCAAGTTATAATGACACAACATAAAAATGCAATAAATATCAGAAAGTCTGTCCAAAGTATATAAGAGTGACATTTTATTGGCTAGAAAAGTGTATCAGTTTTAAGTTCGATAAAAACACACATACACACACAGACAATGCCTTGAAAAATTAAAATGTTTATTTTCTTTTAGCTGGCAAGTTTCGTATTTTCATCATGATATCAATTGCTTCGTATATTTATTTTCGTAATGCACAAATTGCTTTGAAATACACTTTTCAGAATGTCAATAAAAAATATTTTATCCAATATAGAATGTGGCCGATTTATAAAATCAATGTAGCCACGGAATAGTAATTTCGGTTTAAAGAAAAAAAAAACACAGACATAGCGCACTTCCAGCATCAAGAAAAAACAAAAAATATATAAATCTTCCACCAAAAAATGAGCTGATTTTTTAAAAGCACACATCACTCAAGTCACTCAACTATACATAAGGTATTAAGGAAGAAAGACACAGTTTTACTTAATGAGAGCGCCTATCTCCAATTTATCAAGTGAGAAACGAATGAATATGTAAATATATATCGACGAAACAAAAAAAAGAACAATTATTATGATTTAAACATTTATTGATTCGATGTAATGTTAACGTTAAATTTATTATTAAAAAAGATTAGAAAGTATAATAAAAATAAAGAAAAACCACACATTGATAAAACCAGCTTGGATGCGTTTTATTTTTTTTTTAATTGTTGTCTTAAAAACCATTTCAAAACAAAAATGATACAGTTTGCGTGGGTTCATTTCCAACCAATAACGTTGTTGCATATGCTATGGCAAAGATAGCACATGAAGGTGAAATTCCTTGAAGAGTTCTCGGTGTTTTGAATTCGATGCCCAGATTTTTTGGACACAGTTTTTAAATGTCTATCATTCAGTCTGTTGAACTGTGAACTATCGTACACCTCGACCTTCTGAGTTGACTCACGATAATATATACCAATTTCATGCCCTTCCTTCGTAGGGTTACCTACAAGCATTCATCACAATGAAAGAAAGAATATGAACCATACAATCGCACACGTTATACTTGGTAAGTGGTAAGTGTCGAAATTAGTTATTTCGTTAAGCTCATAATTGTGAAGGGACAAATTCAGAGTATTGCTCAGCGATGCTGCCATCCACAGCATATTAAAATATCTTGCTGAGAATGCGTCGTCCGTCGCATGCGAATGTACGTAGCAGTTTATACATCACAGCGAACAAGAATGAATGCATTGTTCTCTTCAAGATTATCTCACTCAAAATATTCAAACGATTGTATAGAGAACAATGCATGTATTGTTGTTCGCGGTGATGAAATAACTGCTGCGTACCTTCGCATGCGATGGACGATGCATTTTCAGCAAGATATTTTAATATGCTGTGGATGGCAGCAGCGCTGAGCAATACTCTGGACAAATTCACTAGTTTTTCCCATCCGTTACAAAATATATTGTCTGCTATTCATGTGCACTCTACACGCCTGGATTTAAAAAGAAAAGGCGAATTTTCATCAAATAAATATTAAAACACGTTTGAATTGTTTCAGATCAATTTGATTATCTTTATTAGTGTTTTTATATAAATGGTAAATTTCCTTCCGAATTTTATCACAAAAATAATGAACAAAATTGTATATAAAATATTTTTAAAAAAACTTGTATAAAGGCATTTTCAATCCAGTTTTCTGTACATGAAACCATATTATTCAATAAGAAGGAAAAATCATTCTCTCTTTTCGCCGTGATTTAGTTTTAATAGATTAAAAAAAGACAACGCATTCTATCGTATTAAATACCGGGCGTGTCAAAAAATATTTATATTTTAAACAACTCTGTATTTGTTCAACAGCATTCGAATGAAATGTGTTGATTGTTTGATTTTGTTTTCTTGTCTTTTGTCTTGGGAATAAATGCTAATAATTAGTATAACTACAAATGCATTTGTGCGTATTTGGTGGGTTACAAAATTAGTATGATTAATATGTCGCTGTAATTATTTGTCCCATGACTCGTTTTTTCCCTACTGACGTATTGTATATTCCTCCATCGAATAGCCATTTATTTTTTTGGCCCATTTTTATTTCGATTTCCATTGTAATTCAATCCGATTCATCGGAACAGTCGAATAGTTTCTTCCCCCTGAGCGACGATGCTCCGTTTACCATTGATTCACTAGGACGACTGTCACTATCATCGAACCTGCTGAGACAAAATGTTAATTCATTAATTTAAACGAATAATCAATAAAATCTGAGTGGATAATTTTGTGATGTTCTTACACCAGGCTAGTTCTGGATATTTCCATACGGCTACGCCGAAAACTACCATGTGAATTATAATGATTCAATGGCGTTGAATTTACAATCAATGATTCGGGTGGTTTACCATATGACCGATTCATACTAGACCGATTACTCGGTGAATCTTCAAAATCAATTTCCGAATCGTCCAAACGCAAGAATGAGTCATCTGATGTCTGTTGAACGGCAATCGTTGGTGCTGTTGGCGTTGATGTCAATGCTATATTGAGTGGCTGATTCGGTTTTTTGAGATGCTTCAATTTGAAAATGGAGAACAGCGATACCAATAGGTTCATTATGTAGATTTTCAGTATGTGCCATAGGCTTAATACTTTTCTGGTACATTTTTTCTATAAAAATAAAAGACAATGTATTATTTGATATTGGAAGATAAACAAAACTAAACAACAAAAGACAACTTACGATTTTTGTAAAAGGCTTCATCAAACGACGACGCCTTAGTATTTTCTTGATTTCTGGAACCGCCAGCAATGTATCAACATCAGGTCTCTGTTCTGCTCGTGGATGCATCATTGATTTTATAACGTTTTGGAAATCTACCGACAAATCTATTGATAAAACAATTTGATTAGTCCATCCATTAAAAAAAAATTAAATCATTCGTTGATTTAACTTACGTCGAAGGAAATGATCAGGCACTGTTCCGCTTCTCAGCGCATGCCACAAATATCCATTTTTCGGTAGTTCGAGTCGTGAGGAAAGTTCCAGTATGGTAATGCCAAGACTGAATATGTCAGCTGCTTTTGTAAATTTATGTTCGAGCGTTTCAGGTGCAATGTATCTGCAATCGCCCTCAGATGAATTTATCAAATTTGGCTGAAATCACAAATATTTCACACAATTAATATCGAAAACATTTGTCAAAACATACAAACATTTTAAAAGTTAACACTTACGGCACGAAGATCGGCAACCAAACCGAAATCACCGAGTTTACATACATTATCTTCGCTTATCATGATATTCTCTAGTTTTATATCTAAATGTATCAGATTTTGGTCGTGTAACGCCTTTAGTGCCAGTAATAAATCCACCAAAATGTTCAAGACCTCTGTTTCACTGAGTGCGTCACTCCTTTGCATGACATACGTTTCCAAATTGCATTTACACAGTTCCAGCTGCATATACAATAAATCATTTTGTTCCCAAGCTTTGTGCAATGTGATGCAGTTTTCATGTTCGCTAAATTGTTCGTATCGTCGAACCTCTTCGATACGTTCCTGTCGTGATGTTTCACCCCGATATAATTGTAGTGATTTTTTAACCGCATACAATTGGCCATCCTCTTTGCTACGCACTTTAAATACTTCTCCGAATGAACCTTCTCCAAGTCGATCGACCACTTCAAAACACTGTTCAAAATAGGATTCACGTAAACTTGGCCGATACACTGAATTGGTTAGTGACGATTCACTCGATAGGGAGTTGCTGGCACTGTAGTTATTTTGTCGAAATGAAATTGCATGCGGAATGGAATGATTTAAACTGCGATTGTAACTGGAATCCATTTGTTTTTGATTGAGTTTTGGTGGTCGCTTTCGTGAACGTAATCCATCATTTTGTGATCTCTGTCGTTTGAACAAAGAAAATGTTTGTTAAATGGGTTTCAATTGAAATGTTTGCAATTGTGTTCTTTGGACTTACCTGCTTAAATGCTCTTTGATCCCCATACTCAAGTTCAGGTAGCGGCAGCAAATTTTTCGATGACATCATGTTTGTCTTCAACGTTTTTGGTTGAAACGAGGAAATTATTTACAAAAATAAAAAAAACGGAGTTGTTTTGTTTCTTTAAAATTTCCTTAAATTCTATTTAATTATAAATAAACATCGTGATTTGAGGTTATGTTTTCGGTTTCTGTTCAGCTTAATACACTATTTAATATATTTTGTTTTTTGAATTTTATTATGATTTTGGTTCACATTCTAAGTATTTGGCGATGTCAAAACTTTAAAAGTCTTTTTAATTCATTTATTTTTCACATGAATTTAGTTTATTTTACTTGAACAAATATTAAAACGAAAATGTTAACTGCGCAGACATGATAGCTAACAAAAAAATAAAATAAATAAATAACAAAGTGATAGAGCAGTAGATGTAGTTGTACAACTGTTTTTTTTTTCCTTTCTTTCGATTTGAAAATGTCAGTCGCGTCACTTTCACATTTGTATTCACTGCGTAATGACGTTTTAACGATTATTTTCAAGTTTCGTTCGTGTTTAATGCGTCGCAGATACACATGATGTTTGTGTGTTGTATGTTGTCGGCCCTGACAGTTGCTTGAGTACGTTCCAGCTGTCATTCATACCCGAATGCTGTGTATGTGTGTGTGTGTCTTTCTAAGTACTCATGGTTTGGCAATGTGACATAAAAAGACATCAATCCGAAAAACTATTGTGAAATAAAGTGAAAATTAAATAAGAAAAAGGGTTACGATTTAAGCTGGAAACGGCAAAATGAGCCTAAGGTGTTCTACTTCATTATTGACGAGGCTTCGATCTTTGCCACAAATTAGAAATTATTTTAATTCACACCATATTTTACACAAAAATCGGCACCAATTAACCAGTTCAACATCATTCAATACATTTAGACATTATTGTAATCCTGCGTCAAAAGGTGAGGTTAGAATTAGAAATATTTTTTTTTCTTTTATTCAATTTTAAAAGATAAATATTTGATGAAATTTATTTGACATTGTTATGAATTAATATCCATGTGAAAATTCCGATTCATTCGTAAAGGAGATGGAAATGAAACAAAAAAACCGACACAAATTCTCTCAACATTGTTTCCACAAACATCACCCACGGTGAATGCAGAGCCTGACATTCATGAGAAAAGGAAACAAGAGGAACAAGATGAAAAAAAAGAGCAGGAACAATCGTGGAAACGAATGAAATTAGGGTATTCTATAAGTTTTGTTTTCTCACATTCTTCCGTTCCAATCACCGTCTTTATTAACGATGATATTTGATTATTTTTTTCAAGTTTCTATGTGTTCGGTGTATCAACTGTTATAGGTGCTGTATGGGTTGTTGTGGATTTGGGTGCACCTGAAAAGGATTCGGACGGTCGTGTAATCGAAGATGAGTTTAGCATTTTACCATTGCCAAAGCAATACCTAAAACGAATGTGGAAATCGCTTACATATTACCAAAAAATTATACAAGAACCGTCACGCGAAAAACTACTGCCAGATCCACTGAAACCACCTTACTATCAACCAAAATATACACTCGTTCTTGAGATGAAAGATGTATTAGTACATCCTGACTGGGTAAGCATCGGTTGCACATTTTAGTCAATCTTCAGAACTTTCTAATGTTTTTTTCGTGATTTTAGACATATAAAACTGGATGGCGATTCAAGAAACGCCCCGGCGTTGACTCATTCCTTGAACAATTGGCCAGAGATTATGAAATTGTTGTTTATACAGCGGACCAAGGTATGACACATCTCGCATGATTTAAATTTAAAAAAAAAAACATTTTGCGCGTGAATAATATTTCACCATATTTGATAAAATTTCGTTAAAATGTCCACATATCAAACAGATTTGAAAAACTTAAGGAAAAAAAATAATATGTTAATGAACAAAATTCTATAAAATAAAAAATTTCTTCGTAATTATTGAAATCAGGCATGACGGTCTTCCCAATTCTGGATGCACTCGATCCAAAAGGATTTATTATGTACAGATTAGTGCGAGATGCAACCCACTTTGTGGATGGTCATCACGTTAAAAACTTAGACAACTTGAATCGAGATCTGAAGAGAGTTATTGTTATTGACTGGGATCCAAATTCGACAAAACTGCATCCAGAAAATACGTTCCATGTGGAACGATGGAATGGCAACGATGATGATTTATCACTGTTGGAACTTGTTTCATTTTTGAAGAGTAAGTTAAAACCATTTATTAATGGTGACATCACAATCAACCATGATTTATTTGTTCTTTCCAGCCGTCTCAAGTGCTGATGTCGATGATGTCCGTGATGTTCTACAGTACTACAAACAATTCGACAATCCATTAGCGAAATTCAAAGAAAATCAACAAATTTTGTTACAACAAATGCAGGAGAGAGAATTGGAAGAGAAAAATGCACCACCTTCGCCGGTGAAAAAGTGGACACCATCTTTTCTTGGGCGCAAATAAATGAAAACACAAAAATAATCTAACGCAATTTAATTGTACAAATTCAAAAACTTTATAAAGTAACTAAAACACACATCAATTAGACACATCTTTTCAGTTGATTTCTTATTTTCTTTTTACAAACTATTCATATTAGTTTATAATAGCAATTTTTAGTCATCATAACAAGTGAATATTGTTTTTACGCCAAGCGAAACAAATTCATTTGTGAATTACAAGAAAATATTACATATAATGAAATAAAGAGAGCAATTAATTTCGTTTAATTCAATTTCAACTATTCACTTTTTGTTGTAAAGAGAATTTCTTCTATTCGGGACTATTTTTATGTTGCCAGAAGTTGCATCGATCAAAAAAATGCATCAATTAGTAATCTAATTCTATCATGTCTGTGAACCAGAATGATTTGAACGTATTCAACGGATTTCGTTCAAAATTCAAACCCTTACGCCACCATTAAACGAACTAATTTCGAACGTGCGATATTGATGGGAATTTTTATCAAACTGTCAAATTGTTGCAAACTACACAACATGAAATCAGCGCGAGAACACACAGATACTGAGATCTAAGTAGAACTTAGAAAACATTCAACGCCATTATATTTTATTGTTCACTTTTGCTTAAGAACGAGACAAATTAATTTCAGAATCAATATCAATCGATTGGTAAGTTGCTTATTTCTAATTTGAACTTTTCGAAATGTTGAAATCAAATTAAAAAAAAAAACAAATCCATTTGTGTATTACATAGTTTTTATACGATTCATGTCATATCTGTAATTAAAATCTCGGTAAGAGCTGCTTTTTCAAGGATTCTAAACCAAATACAATTCACACGCTACAGGTATTTTGCACAACATTATGAACAAAATGGCGAACAATATGGACATGGATATGGACGTAGATGATTTGAAGGAAACGGAGTTATCGGATTTTCCAGACGAAGTTCTGATGAAAATTATGATCTTTTTAAACGATACAACTTTACTCAACATGACACGCGTTAGTAAGCGTTTTCGTGGAATTGCCAAAGATGCATTCAAAAAGAAGTACAGCCATACGTATTTCGAAATGCATCTGTTTCATGACAATGTAGCCACACAGCGCAGACAATACCAACCATTTATTTGTACTTTTGGCGAAAATTTGATCGCGCTATATATTCACTTTGAGAGCGGTCCTGTAGACGAAAATCACTGGATTTACACACTGATTCAACGATATTGCACAAATCTTGAAGATATTAAAGTTGATGCAAGTGACAATATTAACTTATCAAAAATTCTACGACCACAGTTACAATCGTCTCTGAAAATCTTGTCATTGGGATATTCAACTCTCACTCATCACACATGGTCATCTTGTCGATTCGAGAATCTCATTCGCCTGGATATAGATGAGATTTACAATTCCGTACAGCAACAATTGGTTGAATTCATCCAGAAAAATGTCCAATTAGAAGATATCAGATTGAAATCTGTCTACAAAATGGAAGAACCCGAAAATTATCTGGAAATTCTCAACGCAATCCAAAGCAATTGCAAAAATATACACACACTGATAGTAGTGCACTGCTATGGACCGATACAATGGAACAATGAAATGATCAATATTTTGTGCAAACTTACCACGTTACATAAATTAAAAATTGATGTTGAACATTTGAAGATCACTCACCTTGAGTCAATTGTTCGAAGTTTGGACAATTTATCGTTCCTTACCTTGAATCCGGGGATTCGTGGTCACTCCGACATTCACCAGAATCTTAATCGTGTCATTTCACTGTGTCAGAATGTAGCTCATCTTGAAATTGATAACTTACGGACCGAAACAAGTTTCGAGCTCTTCGCACACACTGCCAATGAAATGCAGTCGAATAGATCGGTAACATTGGAGTATGAACATGGAATCAACGAAAAAATATTGATTACAAAGGGCGAGGTTAAACGCAACAAAATCATCGTATACAAAAAAGATGCAGTCAACGGCGTACATTCGAAGAATCTATTGGACTTAAATGATGACTGTTTTGGCAAAATCATTGGTTTTTTGGGAGTAAAAAGTCATGCTGCTTTATATGACACATGTCGACGGGCTCGGAGTGAAGTCAAAAAGTTTTACCACGAAAATACGCTTGTGACCCGTTTTGATCAAGAAACACTTAGTGCGAGTGTTTTATGGTGTTTGGGCGAGTTTATCAAATCTATGGTACTGCATAATACTTCTAATCACAATAAAAACACACATCAACAAATATGGACAAATATCAATCATTATTGCACTAACTTGAACGAATTGACCATACTTTCCCGTAATGGATTTAACTTTCAAATAAATGTTTGGCCTTTGAAGAAGCTGATTTTTTCTGGACGTTTCTTCTACTATCGAGGCAATGATTTGTCAGAATATGCAATTAGCTATGAAAAATTGCGGTTATTTATCTGCCCCATGTTGACACATTTGGAAATATTGAGTTTCAATATTCTTGGCGATGCTGTGCAGAGTTTGGATCATGGCGACAGTTTTCGTAACTTGACAGTATTAAAAGTGAGTAACTGATTTTGCATTGATTAATTGAAATTATAGAAAGCCGACAATATTAAACAAATGTTTACTTATTTTACAGTTTGGACACTACAATGAAGACGTGAAGAAATTTCTGGCGGCACTAGACGATAGAGTTTGCGAACAAATGTTGGAACTTTCGATTGGTGCACATCTCCCAATGGAATCGGAAGTTGATCATTTGAACGATGATGAAGATTCAGACTTTGATCTAAATCCATTTCAAGATTATCATGATAAAAAGTTCAAAGGTCAAGCAACCAAATCAAACATCGAACTCATTAACATTGTTTCGAGATTCAGAAAATTGACAACCTTGTATTTGGTAGTTCGTGGTGTGGATTGCTGTGATACCAAATATCTATTCGAAAATTGCACAAATTTGAATGAATTTGGTGTTTGGTGCTGGGGTGAATTTCGATGTGAAGAAATGTTTAGACATATCTACGAAAATTGCGATCAAATCAAAAAAATCCGCCTCTTTGGCATCGGTATTTTTCGCAAACTTATACAAAGACTCCGCACAATGTTTCCGACTGGAACGGTTGAGGTAGCCATTCAAAATAATGTGGCTTTTCCAGTTAACGATGACAGTCCTCGTTACGATCAAATGGTTGTGAGCATACCAGACAACTAAAACTAAAGGAAATTTTTCCATAAAAAAAAAACGTATTTTCTGAATTACCTTTTTTCCGTATATCACTTTGAATAGCTCTAGAAAAAAAAATCTAGTTAAAAAAGACACATACATTGTTCAAAACAATCAAAAGAGAATATAAATGTTGATTTGAAGAATTTCAGAAATAAATAAAACTCGAGATAATTAATCGTTTTTCACACATTTTTGTTGGATTTTTTTATTTGGTTTTCACATTTTTATTGTTATATCAATATTATATAATTATTGAAATTATCAAACCTAGAATAATATATATGTTTTCAGTTGTTGGATTCCAAATTTTACACTGTTTTCGAAATCTAAAACGGAAACAACCTAATGGCCAAACTAATTAATTTTTCTGAATTGAATTTATAAAAGCAAATAATATAAATGAAAGTAGGATTGTTTTTGTTTAGCTTCATTGTGTAAAAATACCAATAGATTTAATGCCGAGAATTGTCGGCCACAAACGTTCCGATTTTGAACACATTTTGCAGATTGCTTATTTTTTCTTTGTACCAAATGTACATCTTTGTACAGATCCATGTGAAACGGGTAATCTATAAATCAAGTATAAAATATCTATTCTGTTCAATATATGTGCTGTCATCTCTTTCATCGATTTTAATTAACTCCTGAGTGGTTTTTTTGTTATTATTTTTAAATTTTATACTTTATATTTACACATTTTCAAATTGTTCACATATCTACTTTAAGGTGGTAGACGTAGTTTCACGGAAATTAAATTGGCCAAATTGTATTCTATTGACATTAAGCAACACAATCGAGTTTCTTTTTCACAATTCTGAAGTTTTCAGACCAAAATATAGCGATACAGTCAATGCACGTGACATAAAGATATACATTTAGATTATTTTCTAGTGTAAATAGATTTAATTAGCTAAAATGGGCTTTAGTCTAAACAAAAGATGGACTAAGTAGCTTGATTAAATTAAGAATAAAAAAAAATATATGTTCAGTTGATGTTCAATCGTGAACTTTGACCGAATCACGTTTTCGTTCATTTTTATTCCATTTGCCTTGATCTTTGTCCTGATGGTATTTTTTCGAATCTTTGCGATCGTTTTTTCGATTTTTTTCTTTATCACTATCTTTGTGTTGTTTTTTATCACGGCGATCTTTTTTATCATTACGATCGAAATATTCTTCGGATGAATTGTCATCATATTCGGCTTTAATCACACTGTGTTCAAATTTTTCTGATTTATCCCATTTTCCGTTGGTTTTATCGGTTTTTCTATGTTCCTTATGGCCATGTAAATGATCGACTTTTGTTTTTTTCATAAAATTATCGTACGCTTTTTGGAGGTATTTCATTGTACCTTCATCATCACAATTACTATCTCGCAATACTTTACGTGCATGTTCTATGCCCAAATTAAAATCAATTTTATTTGGATTGCATTCTTTGTCGTCAATTGCCTTATACGAGTAATGTGTCGAATATATTTTTTCCGGTGTTTCGACCTTTGGTTTTTCACGCCCCATATTCTTAAGTTTTCTGCAATATTCTCGATTTTTTCGTGCAAATTCGCTAAGTTTCATATTACATTCCGAATGTCTAAATACTTCGGATGTATAGTCATCATCATATTCCTCAGCATCGGTCCAAATTATTTGATTTGGATCTACGAGTGGTTCTTTTTTGGGAATTCCCATATCCGACAATTTTGTCGGCTGAATTATAAAACTACCATCTTCGTTGGCCGATTCATCATGCACTGCAGGCATTTGTTTATCACCATTGTTTTGTTCAGGTATAAATTCAACACTGTTATTTGTTTTGTTATCATAAAGATTGTAGCATTGTGCTAAATTCAATTCGATCTGGTACTTTTCAATTTTAATGTTATACAATTCGAGTTCAACTTCTTTTAATTTGTATTCCACTTTCTGCATCTGAGCATACATAACGGAAATTATTCCCAACAAACTGGCGGTTATGACAATCAGAAACATTTCTCGATGTATGAAGTCCACAAAATTTTGAAAATCAAAGGAAACATTTTGTGATGATGATGATTTGTATTCATCAAGCGCTTGATTGCGTGGTCGCTTCACACTGATGGCCATATCGATTGGGGTACATCTCATCCACATTTGCATCGGTTGCGGTGATGGTGTATGGTTGGATAAGTCATCGGCTCCAAAGCGCTCTTGATTAATTTCATGGTCACCAAGTATTGAGATGCTTCCGTCCGTTGTGAAACCGTCACACGATTCATCATATACAAATGTTTTGCCGTTTTTTGGAATCCTGCAAACGAAAATGGAAGTGAATTTATTTTGAGAATATCAAATAAGCAAAAAAATATTATAGTTTCATGTTCATAGTATCCTTCGACATTATTTGTGTTTATTCGGAATTCATTGTCATTGCAAAAGTGTACTTTGTAATGAGTCTCTCTCTATTCTACTTCCTATTTTTCCGTATAACTGATAACGCGTCTCGATTTTTATGGTCATTTTCAAGCCACACCGTTATCGCATTTGTGGTCTTGAGAGCTGTGGAATTGTGGCAATATTTTCATTGCCTCTCAACTATATAACGGAATCACCATGATAATAATAGATTTAATCGCATGGTTGGCCAATCAAACATTTACGTAAGCAAAACAAAAAAAGTAAAAATATTGTCGCCCCTTTTGTTTCGAAAAAATGATAACAAATCAATGTAACAGCAGTTTTCACTATCGATAAATGATTGTATTCAAATTGGATTCAATTTCATCATTTACGTCAGTGTTCGAATTCAATTGACATTTGCCAACGAAAAATCATCAGAGAATTTCGTAATAGGAGCAGAGAGAGAGAGAGGGAGAGGGCGAGAGAATAACCTTGAACTATTTTAAAAGTAATAAAATCGTATAATTGCTATCATTAGCAATAAATGGCATCACACAATTTCAATCATCACACTACTCAATTCAATTTATTTGTTTTCTCTATTTTTAGTACGTGCAATTTTAATCGCTCAATCGTTTCTCTCTTTCTCTTCTTCTTTCTCTAATCGCATCTCGTTTTGCTTTTATGATAACCGTGCACTCAACTCAGCGAATGTTTTAGATAAATAAATAGTATGAAGGAAGGCGAACAGAAGCAGGTTTTGTAACTAATTACTTGCAATGAATCATTGAGATATTTCACATATCACAAATTCAACAATAGCATAGTGATTGAGATTCGATGAAAATTGTTTGTCTTTTATTCGAAACGATTCATTCAAAGTGGCATACACATTGTGGCATTTTTAAATCATAATTTGAATGCATTCGAATCTGTGCCACCGTACATGCACATGATATTTTGATTCATATTAAAATATTTGCAATTTAAATTTTGCTACTAAAACAATAGCCACAACAGCAAGGCAACGCAACCAAACTCCGTTTCGTACACAATCGTTTCATTTTCTAAACATTAGTCAGAGAAATTTGACGAATATCATATTAAACAGAATCTTTGAAACGCGCCACTGAAATGTGAAAAAAAACAAACGCTTTTATCTTTCGCTGCTTAGCAAAACAAGAAACAATGTCTCGTGTATATTTATCTCGTTAGATGTTTTTGTTTGACGCTGTTCAAACAAATGCGGCATGCATGAAACGTGATGTTTTTATCACTTGCTTATATTTATAAGCAAAATTTATTGAACATAATTGAAATGTTTGTTTAAGAATGTTTTATTTTTAAACGAATGCACTAAGCAATGTGCAACGAACAACTGCATCGAGTAATAAAAGTGGATAAATCAAGCGATTATATCGTATCTAAGTTATATGGATTATTTTTTCTTAATCAGCAAATAATTACCTGAAAACTTTTTCGGTATCGTCATCGTTTTCATCATCTTCCTCATTGGATGGACACACTTCTTCGGTATTGGATGTACCGTCGACAGTATCGTCTGTCACCGAGATCGTTGGAACGGCTTCATTGCCCACTTCAACGGCATTCGATTGACTCAATGTCTCGGTTGAATCAACCGAATCACTTTGATATTCGTTTGCAGAATTGCTATTATACTCCTCTTTCATCGCTTCGTCCATTTCATCAAGTAAAATCCACGATTCTTCGCTTCCGTCCGACGATATCGGATCAACAACAATTCCATTTTTCTCCGCCATTTCAAATCGAATTCCCCGTTTATTTTCTCTGTTCACCAAAAATTCTGAAAATAGAATGAAAAAAAGTTATGTTGAAATTTTTGGAATTTTATTTCTCATGAAATGAAAACATTTTCAAATATTCAAAAGTAATACATGCTCTATATTCTGAACAGCGAATACTGAGATGAGTTTAAAATAAATTGTTGCAAGCAAGCGAGATTGAAAAAAAAACCTTAAGCGAAAGCACCTACTCTGTTGACTAATTTAATAAAACTGAGGCAAACAGATATACAAAAATTGCGCAAAACCAATTCGAAAATAACGTACTGCGACGTTTATTCGAAAATGAAGTGAGAAAACGAACCACATTTGACTGTGAATTGTGGAAAAAAAATATATTCATATTCTCGGTTTGTTTGGTGTGTCTTAAATTTTTGTAAATTTTATTCGATGCGCACTGTTTAAAATAAGGCGAAATACACAATGGCCCATTGTGATGACACACATGCATTTTCTCGAAAAATATATAACGCAAAACAGTCATACACACATCTGCACAACAAACGATCGACCGAAATTAAAAACAAATTGAAACATTAATTTTTCAAAATGAAAATTTCGCAGCAATCTTTTTTTTTCATTGTTTATGATTTTCTTGGCGTAGATTTACGATAATCGACATCAAATGATGATTCTTTGTTTGTCACATTTTCTCATTATTTTGTTTGAGCGTTGTCAGTTTGATGGGCAGCATACAACGTGCTCATTGCAGTTTAGAGTTTTTGTTTACGCTAATTATTTTTTTGTTTTGGCCAGATTTGTGAAGCGACCATTTCGCAGTGATTTCATGAATGAAAATTCCTTGCGAAACTGTGTGGAGATCATACGATCGAGATCACACGTTTTAGCACTTTTTGAATGACGCGATTAGATGTTGTCGCTGTTTTTCTTTTGCTCAATCGAAAAGTGTTGAGAAAAAAATGATGAAAATATTGTTGACAAAGATGAAAATAATATTGCGCATTTGATCATAGATACCGAGGAAGTTGATATACCATTTTCTTAATGAATGTTAATAGCTCCGACATAAAAATTACAATCTTGCAATTATCAGTTGATTTTATCGAATTATTTTATCTTTTTCTTGCAAAATCGTTTCACATGGGTCGCTTGGCGCAACCAACTTGACACATCAACCGAAGAACGATTCAGAAAGATAATCATAACCGTATGCATTTCAATATTCCGAGAATAAACAAACAAGAAAACGCGAAATGTTCAGATGTTTATTCAAGCGCACCAAAGTATATTTCATATGTTGTTATTTCTCATTTCTTTTGGCGAAAAGAACAAAACATTCGCATATTCGTTAATATGCATTTTGGATGGTTGCCTAGTTTAAAATGATATTTTTTGAAATAGATAGCCAAATGCGAACGTTTTATTTTTGAATTTCATGATTTATCGATTGTGTTGGTTTTTTGGCGCAGGAAATCATCACATTCGAATGGCTATGGTGAAATATAGCCGTCACATGAGATCAGCATTCACTTTATTTCGTCCAAAAAGTTAATCATCGCAAAATTTACGGCAGATGTAAGTGTGCGATAGAAATACACAGAGAGAGAAACAGAAACAGAAAGAACGAGCGAGAGAAAAGACGGTGTGTGTAAACTTGTAACTCATATGATTGTCTCGACTGCTCGCGAATACTGATAGTTCTCTCGATCAGACCTCTGAAACTGTCATGTGAACATTCATTGTAGATGCATTTAAAAATAGTAATATTGGAATATTTTTGACTTGACAGTGCCATACAAGCCACATTTGGCATAGAAACGCATTCGTCTGAAAAGTGGCTTTTGCTTAAAAGGTTCAATGAATGGGTCATGTGTTGGATCGCGAACGCCAATTGACCAAATGGATTTATTCTTAAAATAGAATGATTTTTTTGTTGTTTCAAATTTGTTTTTCATTCATATAATTATACATTGCATTATATTGGCTCGTCTGAGACGTCTGCTCAACCCCGATTAATACGCATTTCATCGCAATCATACACAATTACACACTAACAATACGAATAATTTTTGATGAGTAGTCAAAATAAAATCACAAAAGTAAAAAATGCGCAGAAAAATCGTGCACTCGATAGCATTATTTTTTTTTAGCTAAGCCATGAAATTGTTTACATTCACTGTATTTTCGAGAAAAAAAAGATCTTGTGAAATGTTAAGAGCAAAACAAAGTTCACAACGCACAAAAGTCAGTCAGTTTATTTGGCTCGAAAATGTGTTTATTCGTTTTTGTTTTGATGAAATTATGTCAATTTATTAAACGTTGAAAACCTGTATCGTCTTGATATTAATCGATTTGGTGTGATAAGTCCACCAGAAGCACGTGGATAAAGCCTATTAAAATAAATTTTATTCAGTGTGACCTTACTAATCATTGAGAATTCAATTCATGCATAGTCGCCATATTAACATACGATAATGATATAAGGGCAGCTGCGTGGATGGACTGAACACTATTGTGTCTATTTTGTTTGGTCGTAAAATATGTTTGCAAAACGCAGTGTGTATTTTCGCCCAGTTATTTCACCTTGGAATCGTATATCGACTAAACAAACGACGTTCAGTTGTGTCTAATCGTCAATTTCATGATATTGTATGACTAAGTATTTCAATAGATAAACAGAACAAAAACAACAAAAATACCAAATGAAAGGAATAAAAAAAATGTTTCTATACATTCTCTAGCTGTATTCAATCTATAGTATATTGAAAGTCGGGAGAAGAAAAAAACGCACAATCGTCGTATGTAGAAGAAAGAACGAAAGAAAAACAACGAAAAAACATCCATCAGCTGTTTGTATTGATACATATTTGTACGCATACATCGGCACCGGTTTTGCGTCCTATGTTTTCCATGCTTGGAACACATCCATATGGTGTATATTGAGCACATGTTCGCACATTGTTACGACTATGAATGAACTAATACCAACGCACACAGACACACAACAGTGAACGATAAATTATGAGCTAGCGTGCGATCGCGTTGGCCTCCTATTCAACATCAATAAGTGATTGTTTGTTTGCTTAAAATGCGACGTTCGTTTGGCATGTAACCTGAAATGTGTGCATGTGTGTCAGAGCAAGCCTTTTTCGTTTCCATTTGAAATGCTCTTTTTTCTCTACATTTTGTTTCTTCTTTTTTTACAGTCGGCATACGACATTTGCTCATTTACAAATGGCGTATATACAGTATATTATACGCTCAAACGATTATAATTTTATTTTGCTGATTCAACTTGCAGTTCTAACAAATGAGCAAAACATATTAGCGCTTCATATACATCATATGGTTTTTTTTTTATTTCAGGTCGCCAATCAGGTTTTTTCGTCATGAAATGGTTTACAGATGAAATCGATTGACAAAAGTGTTTAAAGAAACCATGTCAATAATAACCATTTCGATTTAATGTAACCAGTAAAAATATACATACAACCATTTATAAATGGACATATGCATTCGAAAGGTTCGCCCTATTAAACCCCAATTTATTAGGTAGATTGAATTTATTTTTCTGATTCCTTAAAATGTACCTTCTCATATAGTATGAGTAAGAAAAATCTTGTCATGCAAGGCCCTTAAAGTGCTCGTAGACCTCGTGAATGATCAAAATTTTAGAAACCTTTACTGGTACTTTTGAAAAAAAAATCGTTTATCCGTTCAAGTCATGCGATTCAACGACTTGAATTCAAAAATTTCATTTTAAAGAGTTTGTTTTTGTTGACATGAAAGAAGTGTTTGCCCGAAAAAAATATGTAAACTTATGTAAAATTGAAATGTTTTGGTTCGCCTGAATGTCAAATATCCATAATTTGCATCAAATATCGATTTTTTTCATAGTCTTCTTTGTGTTTTCGTTGTCTCTTAAATTATTTATAAATTTTACAAAATATTGTGTGCTTTGTGTGATCAGCTGCTTAAGAAATGGCCACGCTTGGAACATAAAGAGAAATATATCGTACAAAAGAATCAAAGAAGAGTATGTGTATACCTACCTCAATGTATATCGATTTTATCCACGCTCACAGGGGCCTCGTGGTAAATGCTCTCACACAGTCTACAAACACATACGTATGCGTATATCCTTCTTGTATCCTTTATTGATGCTACAATACACGCTCACTTTGCACAATATTTCGAAGGGATTCCTGTTTATTCTTTGTTGGCTATCGCACACACCAGCGTAGTTGCGCCTGTCTTCTGCCTTTGTTTATTGTTTGTTGCTTGAGTTTATTTCCCTTTTCATCGCACTTGGTTGTTCGATGAATAAAAGAAATATACGAAACATATGTACGCACAACTACATACGAAACGTTGCTGTATAGCCTTTTGACGATGACGACAATCTCATAAAAAAACCAACAAATTTGTGTTGCGTAGTTGGCAAAACGAAACTGAAAAAAACCTTTTTGCTTTATTTTTGGTGTTCGTTCTTCGTTTTGGCTCTATTGATTTAGTCTTTCAAATTATTTCCTGGATTTTTTCCCGGTTGATTTTTTAGTATACTTTACTAATACATTTCCAAATGAAAGAAAAAGAACGCAATTAGCACTTTGCTTGTACAAAAAAATGTTCGTTTGAATAATTATGGCTAAAATTCACGTTTTTGAGTTTAATTTTTGTTAACAGAAAGCTCATTAGCTCAGTTTTTGTGGCAATAACGTCTTCATATCACGTTTCACTGCCTCTTTTGCCGATGCAAATTAATATGTACGTCAAACTAAAAGTCGTCAAGTAAATTATTCGATGCACACTCGAAACCAAACCAAAAATTGATGTGACTTTTTTTTTGTCGTCGGCCACTTCTTATTTATTCGGTCAACATGAATTTTTTTTTGTTGCGCTCGAAGACTTTCCAAAAAACAATTCACGAAAACGAAAACACACTGTAAATTGTCACAGTTGTTTGGCGAATAATATTTAACACGCGAGATACGTACGTATATGTATGACTGCCTCCAACAATCTCACTCTACTGTGGTGCTTGCAAAATGAAAACAAAAATACAACACCGTCAGCACAACGAATGTGTACAATGTGAATGTACAAGAGGGAAACCGAAGTTGATTCGTTTCAACTATACAATAGTAACATATCGGACGATGGGAAATAAAACAGTGAGCGAGCAAGAGAGACAGAGAGGAAAAAACGCAGTTGAAACCAAATATTATTTGTATGGATGTGAGAGCCACACACATACGTTCAGCCAAGAATAACATTGGTACATTGGCTTACAAACTGTTCAAAAACTAGCAGGAGTATTCATCTCTCACACACAGCAAAACGACGATGATTCCTTCTATTGGCTTCATTGAATTATTTATGCGTGCCATATCTTAATTCTTCCTGATTGAATTTTTTTTTCTCTGCTCATTTTTTATGTAAACAGTATGTTCTTAATAATATTTCCATAACTCGCTTCAGTAGTTGATTATGTGTGCAACAGAAAAGCCTCCAACCGATTAATCGTCATCGTTTTCCCTTTTCAATCTGGTTATTATTTTTTTACTTTCATTTTTTATATTTTTTTTTTTTTTGCATTCATTTATATGTTCATAAATCGCATATATCAATACTTCTCACGCGTGTCTATCGCACAGACAGATGATGTCATTGTTTTGTATTGGTGCGCGTGTTTGGTGTATTTATTTCACATGTTCTCTTCGTTTGAACCGATAGATTTTGCACATTACATTCGTGCACACATGGCAAACATGATATTAATACATACACATGTTTTCCCCTTCGAAGAATATGCTTTAGTTTGAATGCAGTGAAATATCTTATACGAATGTATTCATTCATATGCTTTTGTGGCCAAACTTTTTATCGTTGCTTTTATTCAACAAAGCTCATCTTGTTTCGGGCATTCGATAATAGATGGCACTTTTCCAAATGCGCGTCATATTTGAATTTTATTATATTTTTAGTGAGTAATGGGAAGATTTCTTACAAATTTCAATAAAATGTTGAAGCAGTTGATCGTTTGGTAATATTTCCAACTCGATATTGTTGTGTTTGGAAAAATACTCTTTTTCATTGAACTAAAAGCTTTTTTTGTTTTATAAACACTTTAATGTGAAATGGAAAACTGGCTGCAAAATGTACATCATACTTTCGATAAGATAAATTAATCATGTTTAAAAAAAAATGTCAATTGCGGACCAAAGGGAATAAAGTGCTATTGCCATTTAGCAATTTTTCATATTTTGCATGGATTTCAAGCTCAGATTTATCCAAAAAAATATTTAAATTATGTGTAAAAATGCACTCAAAGATTACTTCTTCATCAATTTACAATTTTAATTAAATCGTACGCTTTAAGTTAAACTTTAATATGAAAATGTGCAACATTTGGAACATTGCGATTTTCAGTTCCTTTGGAATTGTGCAGTTTTCATCATTTTATTTAACTAACACCATAGACAGTCAATCCGATTTTTTAAAAGTACCATTAATTCAATGGGCGGCTTTTGAGCACTAAATATGAATGCTAATTGTATGAACTCTAAGAACGATACTTATTTGTCTTGAAAAGGTTTAAAATCATTTTCTAACCGAATGTTTGAAAAAATGCTGGAACATCGTATTATTTGGAGATTGGAGATGAACACGATTGTTTTCTTCGAATATATCCATAATTCGGTAATCAAATGCGAAACAGAATTCAAGTGCAGGCACGTGAAGAAATTGCCGAATGAAAAAAGTCTAAATCATCTTCTTCAGCAGCAGCAGCATTGTTATCATTATGAATTTCGGCAAAAATCATTTTCAATTTAATAATTGAGTATAAATATCAGAGCCATTTAACAATTTATAATATTGTGCATGGATTTCAAGCTCAGCTTTATCAAAATTATGTGTAAAATGCACCAAAAGATCACATTTTTGGCACCACTTTACCATTTTAATTAAATCGTATTTTGAAAAGAGCAAAGCACCATCAACGAATCAGAGTGAAAAGTAATCGATTTATTGTTTAAATCTGAACGTGCGTTCATTTAATGTGTCACTATTAATTGTTCGTTCTCATTTCGTTGGCCACATTGTTTTCAGTTAATCACTTTTTGCTTGGCCTTGCATCTTCAGAATCGTTTCTGCCGAAAGGCATGTTATTTGCTCAATCATTCACCATTCACAAATCACTGAATCCTATTGGATGCGAAGAAGAAAATTGACAACAACGGTCAATCACAAAAATAAAACAACCAAACTGAAAAGAAATTCTTTAGTCTTCCACAAAGTCGGCTATTAATAGTTTTCGTCTTTTGCATGATTATTGATGGTTTCCAATGTTAAAGCATTGAATGAATGAATGACCGTTGCCAATACATAAAAATCGACAGATTTTGCTGTCTCGCATTTCAGTTGATTTTGATCATGTCATTGAGGTAACACAATGAATAAACGAATTGGACGAAACACAAAAAAAGAACTTCGAGTAATTTTAGTGCGTGGCCCATTGTTGGGTTTGATTTTTTACTGTAGTTTTCAAAGATTCGAAATGATTTTGTCTTTTTTTTATTTGTGTATCGCTTTAACGTTCGATGTAAATGTAAACAAACAATGGAAATCGAATGATGACGACGATGAACTTATTTTGCGTTATTTGAATATTCGATTCGGTATGGTATTGTCACCACGGTTACGGTCAACGAGGCAAAAAGAATATCAAATCGCTCTCGCGCACAATGTCCTCATCTCATGTGAACTCTAGAACAAATACATAAAATCGACAAAGATTACAGTCTTTCAAATAAGTCAATAGTTTATTTTGCACTTGTCATGTTGGATGTTGATTTCAGATGATATTGATGTGACTGGTAAGCCATTACCAAAATTAAACGAATGAGTTTTTCTTACGTACAAATTTAATTGTAGTTGATCTTATTGATATTTAGAAAGAGTTTAAGCAACAACATTGTAACTTCTGGCTTCATCTTTGAACCTTTAAATCTCCTGCTGCTGTCTGCCAAACACAAGCTAAGATTTTGATTTTGAAACTCAATTCAGTTGGATTTCGATTTAAATTTCGATTCGTCATATTCTTTTTTGATCTGATTACATACGAGATTTGTGGCAGAGACAGAATAACACAATAAAACATGCCAAACGTTGTTCTCTGAAGTGCTCGAAAAATGAATAAAATTTACTAATAAGTTAACCGAATTGTGTACTATCTACTTGATCAAAGTAGCTTCATGCCTTTTTATCGACATATTCAATCAATGTTTTTCATGTTCAAACAAATTAAATTAAATTATTATGAAACTCAAAAAACTAGATTCACCGTTTGATTATGAAAATGAGCTTTGCTTTTGGTGTTTGAAGAAAAGTGTTTTAAAAATTGTCTAACACAAGCTTGAGATCATTGGAATTATTGTTTATTCACCGTCCGATCACAGACTGAAAGACAGCTTGAACCTGCCAAAAGAATTAGTTTTACTTCTAAAATCATTCAAAAGGCAAAGCTACTAATTTGTTTTGAAATGTCAGCGACCATTTGCAATGGCAGATGAATTAAAAAGTTATTATGCACCGATTTTTGAAGCCATTGTCTGTTTCCATTTGCCAGTTGCTATTTTAGTTGGAATAAATGAGTGTTTTTCTGTACCAATATATGCTGTTTTTTTCTCTTCGTCAATTAATAAATTGATTGTTTTGGAACGTACGCGAATCGAGAGCCATGGTTTTTTGTGATTACAATTAAGCGTCAATAAAAATGAGTGTAGGTGCAAATTCTAGACAATAATTGCACGAATGTTTGCGCGTGAAAAAAAACGTAAAGCCTCAACGCTAAGCTGAACTGAAAAATAATCGGGCAGTTGGAGTTTATCTTTTTCATAAACCGATTAAACAATGTAGCGACTGCTATTGTAAAGCACTTCAGGTGCTTTAATCTGAAAATTTGGAACAATGCGATTTTCAGTTCCTTTGGAATTGTGCAGTTTTCATCATTTTATTTAACTAACACTGTAGACAGTCAATCCGATTTTTTAAAAGTACCATTAATTCAATGGGCGGCATTAGAGCGCCAGATATAAATGCTGATTGTATGAATTCTACGAACGATACTCATTCGTCTTGAAAGCGTTTAAAATCATTTTCAAACCGAATGTTTGAGAAAATGCCGGAACCTCGTATTTCTTGGAGATTGGAGATGAACACGCTTGTTTTCTTCGAATTTATCCATAATTCGGTAATCAAATGCGAAACTGAAGTCAAGTGCAGGCACGTGAAGAAATTGTCGAATGAAAAAAGTCTAAATTATGTTACGAATGCGATTTTTTCTCGTACACATTGTTTTTCATCTTCTTCATCAGCAGCAAGCAGCAGCATTGTTATCATTATGAATTTCGACGAAAATCATTTTCGATTTAATGATTGAGTATGAGAGCGCAAAATGCTTTCGCTCAATGCCATGTCATCAAGAGATATTAAGGTCTCGGCAATTTAAAGAGAGACTCATGCGCGATCACTTGAAAATCGGCTTTATCGGAAAATTGAATGCAAAACATATGTGTCTTCGATGCGATTTACATAAACAAGTGAATGATGATTTGGTGAAAGAGTTTAGCGCACGTTAAAGTGTATCGCCAGAATATCATTTCGATCGTGCACACAAGCAACAACACTCAAAGTAAATGAAAAGTGATTAATTAAGCAGATGGACATGTACACGGTGAAACACATGTAACACTAAAAACTGAACTCGTTTCTCTTTCAACCACGAAAAATTAGACAGCAGCTGCATCAAAACAATAAATGAACATATCGTTATGTTCGCATTGAAAACAGATAAAAAACGCAATCTCGCGCATCATGTTTCTTATTGGTTTTTTTTTGTTATGCTTCGCGTTGAATTTGTTTTTCCACGGCCACGGTTTTTTCGGTTGTTGTCAAGACTGTTTTTGTCCTGTTTGTCGCGTGGCCTGCAAATGCACACATTTAATTCAACAAACCAATTTTATTCTGATTTCACTCAAGTTTTTTTTTTTGCATGATTCATTTTGAACTGGACTGCAGTATGCTTATCACGTTGAAAATGCGCAACAAGTAATTAAAAAGCTATTATCTTTGTTTTCGCAGTGCATTTTCTTCTCTCTTTTATGCCTCATGGAAGAAAGGTGATTCCCTTGTCCAGAAAGAGATTAACAGTAACGCTTCTTATTTCGACTACTGGATTCAAAATATTCGTATTTATGCTACGCACAAAAGTTGAAAATCCGAAAAAAGAAACGAACAATGGCTGGTTCGAGAAATAACTTTAAAGTCATCACGCCAAGTCGTCATAATAGTGGTGTAAATCTTTCTTCATTTCAATAGTCCGTGCTTCTGAAAACACTGAACATTATTTATAATGCTTTTTCGCTACTGATGCCACAGTATAGTTACGTTTGTCAAAATACATCCATTCAACTCTTTTAATCTTGCGTAATTGAAAAATAATTATGATTGATTATTGTACGAAAACTTTTGTCAAATCTTTGTTGTGACAGCCAACAAAGATGAAATTCGACTTTAAAAAGAAATTGAGTACAAAAACCAAATAGGCTGATCACAAGAACTCAGGTGCCTTTTATTGAAATTTTGTACAATATGACATCACTATTTCAAAATTATTGTATGCTTGGGAAAATTTTTGTGTCGCTTATAGCATTAACTCAAAAGAAAGTAGGCACAACTACCATCTAAAATATATCAATAAAATGAACATTATTACGATTTTAAACACAATAGAATGCGGTAAAATGAGAAAGTCATTGGATCTATTTTGAACGCAATTTTAAGTAGATGTCGTACAAAGTGAAGCGCAGAAAGATAAAATTAACAAAAATAGTGAATAGTTTAAATTTTAGTCAAACAATTTAATTTTAGTTATAACACGTGTTCATTGACATTTTCTTAAACCAGGCGAAAGATACAAAACTTATATACGTTTTCCTTGTTGGTGGATATAACGCTAATATATTTGCAGACTGTCTTCATTTCAACGCCAAATTATTGCTTGATTATTGTATTAGATAGAAATTATACTAATTTTGATGAGTACAGAGACAGCCTGATAATAATGATGTCTGCAAATCTATCGCATCCCGTTAAATGTTCATTATATCGTTTTGTAACGTATAAATATAAAATGAGCTAGATATTGTGGTTCAGAGATGAACTTAACCATGAGGCAAATCACGCTAGATTAGTGAATACTAGAAAAACTAACTAGTAAATCTAGTGCATGAATGACGTCACAGACGAAGCCAACCAAAGTCAATATAATTTATATGAAAAAATACTTCACACACTAGAATTTCTAGTGAAATCTTATCAAAAACCAGCTGTACTAGAATTTCGTGGTTGACCCCATGAACTTAACTTTACTATAATTTGAAAGATCACAAAATTATCGAATCATTGCGTTGATAAAGTAGAACTATGATCAAACTATAGATTCGTATTTTGGACACTCGGAATGATTATTAAAGTAATTCTGTATCAATTCATTATCAAGTATAATTCCTTACAGAGGCAATCATCGAACGGCAATACACGTATCAGAGCAAGTCTACTTGCTTCGATTAAAAACAAAATCAATAGTTGTCACGGTCAAGTGCAGGTTAAAAAAAGTAAAAGATAAGTGAATATTTTTTAAGATGCCAAACAAATTTATTCTATTTAAATTTTGATTGTTAAAATGAATTGAATTATATTTAATGATTGGTTAATAGAAGGTTATCGGTAAGAGTTCTCCTCTTTCCCATTATGAATTCAGTCCATACAAGGCGTTCTTCGTTATACAGCCTCAAAATTTCGTTCGCGTTTGTAAGCTTTCCAACCAATTCGGATTCTTTTAAGAGAATTTTTTCGAATAATGCATCAATTTTTTTTTCAGCGTTTCCATTTGCTGCTTCAACTATAGCCGTTTTTTCGCTGAACATTGATTTAATGGTGGTCCTTATTATATCTGCCTCTTTCATATTTTTATCAAAATTTTTCTGCCAATTTTCGAATTTCGTTTTCATTCTTCCGATATTTTGTTCAACTTTTTTCAAATGACTATTGTCGGTATAACCAGAAGAAGCCCAAGTCTCATAGAATTTGTTGATATCTCCATCTAAAATTTCGTATGCCATTTTATTACAAATTTGTGCATCTAATTGTGGAACTGTGTTTATTTCCATGTCGTTAATTGACTTTACTTTTCCACGTAAAATTTCGCGTGCGCTTATTCCATTGAATTTCAAGTCCTCTGGCACATAATAGATTATGTTTTCAGCAACTTTTGGATCAATCACGTTTTTCCGTGGAAGTTTATCAAGTTTTTTCTTGATTGCATTTGTGTCTTTGGTAATTTTGAGCAAAAAATCAAGTTGTGGGCTTTTTATCACTTTTGACAACTTATAAAACTTCTTTGCCACCAGATCAAATTTTACAAATTCACTATTGACCACCTGAATGATGAAAATTGAAAAAAATATATTATTTTATTAGAACTTGTTTAGTTTTTTTGTAATTTTTATGAAGAATTTTCAGAGTTAAAATGTATTTGTGAACATAAATAAGTTTCAGTTCAGTATGCACTCACCTGAGCGATCAGAAAAAGAGACAAAATTGCCACAATCGACCTCATTTTTTCGAACCACTTTGTACAAAACTTGGCAAAAAATTGTTTGAAAGCTGGTCTGGTATGCGCCTGGTTTTTATATGAAATTTTATTCCATGTAGATCGAAAAATAGGACGCAATTGTTCTCCAATTTATCTTAAATTTTTTTTTCATTGAGTTTGTTTTATAGATGCTACATTCTATCTATCGCTCGTTTATCGTACATTTGCGTCATTTATTCCAACATTCGCAGCATTAGATTTTGTCAATTCATAACATTATTGTCATTACAGTTGTTTAAAAACAACTTGTTTTGTTATAACAATATTATAAATTACTTTTATTTTCAAGTTATTTGTATAGACCAAGAGCCACTCTAACAAGTAACTTTTTTTTTTGCTTTATGTCAGAAAACTATATTGAACCATGCAGCTAGACATACACTAAACAAATAATTTTACGTCTGTCATTACAGCCACCCACTTTGCAAAATCTGCACTATTATTCGCGGATAGAAAACACATCAATTAATAAAGCGAGCTGCATGTTTGATTTTCTGGAATATATTTTGTTTTTGCTCAAAGATTCTTCGATTAAAATTTCTGCATGAAATTCCGCATTGTTTACAAAATCTGCATGAATGAATTATGTAAAAAAAAACTATCAACTTCTTTGTCAGCTTTATGTCTGAAATTTTAAACATCGATTTTTTATCATAAAATAACACTAAATTATAAAAATCTGCACTTAAATACACATATTTATTGTTTTCTGCATAAACAAAATTACATGTTTATATATATTGAAAACACTCAATATGACACATTGAACGCACTCATTTGAGCTGTCAACCAACATTTCCATATATACAATACACATATTTTGCATTTTTACGGTAGGTGTCGCATTGTCATTACTATATACATTGGATTCTTATTTGATTGATGAAAGATTTTTTTTTTTTTGAAATTATTGTAATTTATAAACAAATTAACTGTTTTATAAAAAATTTAATGAAAAACGTTAGAAAAATATTTTATGACATGTTTTTTTCCAACGATTCAATAATTACGTATGTGTATGCATTTTAAATGAAGAGCTTTTATATTGTCAAGCCAAAAAATGTATTATTGTGAAATGACAGAGTAACATTTACATCAGTGCCGTATATCGAATTAATTTCGCTTGGCAAAGGGGGAAATATTTTGACAGATAGTACTCGATCCTTCATATCTTACATCTTAAAGCATTACCTAAACAAAAATTATAGTAAAATTTTCAATATTTTAGATTTAACGACCCGACGTGAGTATCTTGAAGAGCGTATATGCATAATATTCTCATCACAATTTTATTGTGATATAAGTAATTTAAAACTGAAAAAAATAATTTTATAATTATTTCCACAATTCGCATGTAATTAACAGTAACCCAAACCATGAAAGACAATGGTAAGACCTCTAATTTAAGGAAAACGAAACTTAATTGTTCTAACCTTAAAATTTTCAAATGATTTATAGTATTTTGGAGGGAAGGAAAATGGCGTAAGACCATACAATGATTTTTGGATAGAATAGATCCGTAAGATCTCCGCAAGATCCGAATCCAAGTGTGCGTACCTAGCCGCATGATACATACATTCGTTATTCCGTAATGCTATGGCATGCGAATGAAAGTAGGCGAAATAAGAATAACGAATTTGCATGCGTATTATATATGTATGCATCATGCGGCAGCGTACGCACGCTTGGATCTGGATCTTGCGGAGATCTTACGCATCTATCCTATCCAAAAATCATTGTATGCGTAAGACTTTTGTTCGAAAATAAAAAAGATATATCGCCAGACTGAGAGTAAATGACTGTTTTTTTAATACAGACAAGCACCCGAAGAAAGAAAACAGGTGTACAGAACTGGTTTTACACAAAAGGTTGTATGTAAGTTTCATTTTTATTTAAATATCTGAATTATTAATGAAATTATTCCATATACAGACATATTCCCCCAGCACTTAAAAAAAGCCTCCGGAAAGCACTGAACATGGATGGAAGCAGTAGCAGTAATGCCAAAAATAAAGAAAAAGAAGTAAACATCTAAATTGACAATTATGTTAAGTGTTGATTTGAAATTTTGTTCATTCA